GGCCCTGGGAAAAACGATTGGCCAATCCCAGCATATCTCCCCCGAGGTGCTTTCGCTGCACGCGGATTAGAACGCCTCCCCGCAGCACGCCGCTCTCTGGCGGTGCGTACAGAGGATGAACGCTGCGCTGTACTCACTTGTGCCGGTGAATGATGGCGCTGAAGAGCCGACCGTCCCGCCAGTTGCTGGTGAAGTTGTCGCAGCGCAGACCCTGGTAGCCTTCCGACATTCGCTGCGACCAGAGGAGGAGCTTCTCCTTGGCCGTCATGTCCTCAGACTGCCCGGTGACCTGAATGTCCGAGATCTGGAGAGAGGAGAAGGTGAAACGCGTCAACTGCGTGCGGGGGGGAACAAAAAATAAAACCACGCCGTAAAGACGACGCATGTGGCCCTACGGACACAACACGACAACTCCCATCATCCATACTGACCACACACAGCGCCCCAAGACTCAGGTTGGGGGGGTCTTATTAAATATGAGCCCATAAGGTGGGGCAGGGAGTGGGCGGGGCAAATCACGATTGGCTGTGCTGCAGAGCGGTTTGGGGTTTTCCTAATTTGCAGAGGCGGCAGGGGAGCCGCTCCGCGATGGGCGGGGCCGTAAGTAAATTGTAACAAGATGAGTTTCTCACCGTCCTGTTACAAGGCAGCAATCACCAACAGTCTCCTGTTACATACTAGCAGTCCCCAGAAGCCTCCTGGAACAGAAGTACAGTCTCCTGTTACATGGCAGCAGCCTCTAGCGGTCTCCTGTTACATGAGAGAAGTTCCTAGAAGCCTCCTGTAACATGGGAGAAGTCTCTAGCGGTCTCCTGTAACATGGGAGAAGTCTCTAGTGGTCCTGTAACATGGGGAGAAGTCTCTACTGGTCCTGTAACATGGGAGAAGTCTCTAGCGGTCTCCTGTAACATGGGAGAAGTCTCTAGCGGTCTCCTGTAACACGGGAGAAGTCTCTAGCAGTCTCCTGTAACATGGGAGAAGTCTCTAGCGGTCTCCTGTAACCCGGGAGAAGTCTCTAGCGGTCTCCTGTAACCCGGAAGAAGTCTCTAGCGGTCTCCTGTAACATGGGAGAAGTCTCTAGCGGTCTCCTGTAACATGGGGGAAGGTCCTAGCAGCCTCCTGTAATACAAGAGCAGTCTCTAGAAGTCTCCTGTAACATGACAGGAATCTCTAGAGTTCAAGAGACTGCTCTTGTATTACAGGAGGCTGCTAGAGCCTTCTCCCGTGTTACAGGAGACCGCTAGAGACTGCCCTCATCTTACAGAAGACTTCTAGGAGCAGTCTCTAGTAGCATAGGATCAGTGTCCTGTAACACAATAGCAGTCTCTTGCAGCAAGGCAGCGATCTCCCAGTCTCTTGTGACACGGCAGTGGTAAAAGCCGGCCTTGGGTGGGCTTGTGGGTCAGGTCCGTTCTCCTTCACGTCTTTGGCAGAGATAACAGACCTCGAACACTCGGCATATTAAAAAGGCAGAAAAACAGAAATCATACAAATAAGAAGCTGAGTCATCCGTCAGTCATGTGACGGGTAAGTCAGGATGTGTTCCGGGATGAGACATCCCGTGTGTGTGATCTGGAACATACATGTGACACGGCCTCACAGGCCTTCTGGGGACACAAGTACTGTACACTGTCGTGGCCAGAAAAACAGAAACCCCCCATTCAGTGCTGTGATAAGACCGCCAAGGACCTCTGACCTGGCGGCTCGTATATGTGACTGCAGACCAGATTATTGTACACGGCTACATTCAGAGTCCTTCCTCCAATCTGCCCCCCTCCCCCCCTCCCCTCACACCAACAAGTCAGGAAATGATAAGTGTGGGGGGGGGGGGGGGGGCGGGCGCGGGGGGGCGGGGGGGGGGCGGC